TATTTTTTTTTTTTTTTTTTTATAGATATATATATATATATATATATATATATATATATATATATATATATATATATATATATATATATATATATTTTAGACTTTTAAAAACATTTCTGAAGCCAAAACTCACAGGCCATCAAGCAACACTTGGATTACGAGGCAACAGGAATCCTTAACGACCTCCCTGCAGTCCGCAGCGAGCCATCCGGTTTAAACGCTGGAGCAATCTGCTGCTCTCACACTCCAGACTCTCATTTATCATCGACATCGATCCGGATGTTCGCAGGGATGTGTGTGAATGTGTTGACAGGATGCAGGATTCTCAGTGGCTTCCTGGCATTTAAAACGCAGCATGGAGAAATCGATGTTAACTTCTCTCTGTTGCTTACATGCAGAGTGGAGCGCGTTCTTTCTGGCACATCATACATATACCACGGCTCAGTGGGACCAGACTAAGAGATTATTTCTTAATTACTTGTGAGAATAAAGTCATGACATTAGCAGAGTAAAGACACAATATTACCAGAAGAACGTCATAAAATGACCAGAAAAAAGTCATTTTAATGGGAGCAAAACCAATGGAGTTATCGAATTGTTGAGACTTCATTAGTTTATTATTATGAATTTATTCATGTATTATTTTGTATTAGTTGTCGAATGACTTTATTCTAATAATACTGACTTTATTGTTGTACAACTTTTTTCTCACAATATTATGACTTTCTTGTATTTTGAGGTTATTCCTGTATTATTTTGACTTCATTGTCAAATGACTAGTTCCATGAAATTATGGCTTTTTTCTTGTACAACTTTTTTCTCGCAACATTATGATTCACTTCTTTATTCATTTTTATGTTTTATCCTGGCTCTCATACTCCATCATAGATCAGTTTCAAAATGTTTTATTTAATCTTGCGTGGATCATTCTTGGAATTATAAAGGAAGATTTTACTAAAGTTTATGGGTTGGGGGGACTTAATTACTTTTTTCGCATCACGGCAATCAGATTTAGAAAGAACATTGTTGCCAGTTGTCATCCAGTCATTAACAGTGTTATGAATTTGTCATGGTGTCAGGAGGAGACACAGCAAACATTCAATAATTAATGCTGAGCAGACTGACTGCTGTGGGGGAGAAAATGCTTCCAGTACGGGACACACACCAACGGCCACAAGATGGAAATGAACATCGGCTTAGTGCTGAAACGATTAATTGCGACAAATCAATTATTGAAATAACTGTTAACTAATCATCAGCTGGAGTTTAAAGACTTAAAAAAGGACATTTTTTGAAAGAGTGGTAATTAAGCCGAAACTGTACAAAAATATATCTACATTTTGAATTTAAGATAATAATAAAAACAAAACCACCTGGTCTGTAAATATCTTCTCCTCATGTGTTATAGTTTAGCTTCACCTGGTTAAAGTTCTGTAGAAAAACGAACAAATTCTCCTATTAAGCACCTTCTGATTTCCAATTATTAATCTGTTAATCCAACATAACATTGTAACATTTTTCCTTATTTATATTTTCCTCCCATGCGGTTGAACGTTTTTGCAAGATTTTGAAGTGAACTTTTTGCTCTTGCTAAGAATTGGTAACTTTTGGTTGCATCTGATCTGAAGTTTTACTCAACCACAGAAGATACTGCATGTCCTGAGGTATGTGCTGCTGTGAAATAGTTCAGTCATAAAGTCCTATGAACAGTTTAGCCATGAATCCTGTACATTAGGCATGAAATCAGTGTCAGGGATGTGTTTCATGAAGCCTGTTTGCAGACTTCCTCATCCGAAGGTGCTGATGTGGAAAGGGTGGTTGTACAAAAAAAAAAAAAACGGAAGAAACATCATCTAGCATCAGTGCGGTCGGTTGGGAGGAAGCTTGAATCGTGTAATTTCCTGTCGGCCGTCCTCTGAGGGATAAGTCGAGTTTCACACTCTAGTCAGTGTCAGTATGAATGCAGCAAAGACAGAAAAAAACTCTAATCCAACACCTGCAGAAAGACTCCGGCATTCCTCTTCAGAATGTTGGTGAGTTTGCATCGACTCGGGTTCACGCAGCAGCAGCGGCTCTAATGAATGCATCCGTCTCTCCTGACAGGGCTTGGGGGCATCCTGCTCCTCGGGGAGCCCCGCTGAGGCAGCCACCCCCCCACCAGGGATATACAAGCTGGAGATCGAGCTGAAACGAGGACACAACCTTGCCATCCGAGACCGAGGAGGTGCGTGTGGACGTCTTTCTTCTACTCCTTCCCCTCAGTTTTACCTCTGTGGATGTGTTAACGGTTGATCTGTTCAGGCTCCAGCGATCCCTACGTCAAGTTCAAGCTGGCTGGTAAAGAGGTGTTCAGAAGCAAGACCATCCACAAAAACCTCAACCCGGTGTGGGACGAGAAGATCACGCTGATCGTGGACAGTCTGAGCGAACCGCTCTATGTCAAGGTAAAGATTAAAAACACACAGAAGACACTGTGAAATCAATGGTGAAATAGAACCAGCAGTCAGTGGAGATGTTGTGTTGCTCTCCTGCAGGTGTTTGACTATGACTTTGGTCTTCAGGACGACTTCATGGGTTCTGCTTTTCTTTACCTGGAGTCTCTAGAGCAGCAGAGGTCTGTCAGTCGTTCCTGTCATCATGCAGGATTTGTGTCGTGTTACAGACGGGTCTAAGAATCCAAACTAGCTCAATGCGCCGTAGAGGCAGTTGTTTAGGTTGTCGTTGTGGTTGTTGTTCTTCTCTCTGTGGTGGTTGGTGGTTGCATGTCTCTGTTGCTGTTCTGTGTTTCTCTTCTGAGCAACGTTAGTTTCTCTGACCGTTCTACTGTCCGGTGGCTGTTGTTATCCTCGTAGCTGCTTGTGTGTGTCTCCGTGTCGTTTTGTGCTGCTTTGTGCTGGTTGCTGTTGCATGCCTCCATGTGAGCCACCTGTCTGTGGTTGGGGTTGCCAGATTTTGACAACTGAAACAGGACCTGTGCCAACTTCCACTTTCTTTGTTTTGAGAGGAAACACTTTCAGGTTGACCTAAAACGTCGCTGTAAGTCACCCATGTCTGTTGGCTGTGTTGATGTAAAGTTTCAACCTAAATGGCTTCCAGCAGAAAATCGCATGCAGGCCCGTCTAGCAGAGAGTCTTTATTAATTAATTAATTTTTTATGCACATATCAAAATGTAGATGTGCACCGCATCGCAAGACAATTTTCTTCCACGGATTCATTTCAAAATAAATTATATTTAAGAGAAAAAAAATAGTCTTTATATGTGAAGCTGAATTTCAAAACGAAGACAAAGACTTTGTTTATTAATGTGGTTGGTAATCAGATTCTTTGGAGAGTTAGTGATTGGTTCCCATCAGGATACTGATAGTTCCTACACCACCAGCTTTTTGCTAACTAGCTTTTTATTGACTCTAATTTTCACTATGCCTTAAAATAAGTTTTTATTAGTGACTAAATACATTAAGGTCTCCACTTCTGACAGCTTAAACCACAGAAGAATAGTATTTAAAGAAAGAAACTAGCTTCAGTTCTAGGTTTCATAGTCCTAAGAGCCTACTACTTCATGCACACAGTAATGAAAAACAAACAAAATATACTTTATGATTTCTCTGTATCGTCTGTTAGCAGACAGTGTCAAAGATGGATTTATGGGTTGGAACATCAGAACAGAGATAACATCACATATGTGAACCAGAAGAGGCTAGAAAGTGGCGTGACCTGAGAAACAGGTCAAATGCTTCTCTGATATGGGTCATGTTAACGTCCCACACCTGCCTCCATCAGACTCGGTCAGGTAACTAACCTGGGGTCATTATGTAACCTGTAAACAGTCCCAACCAGGGACTATTGTTAAACCGATTTTCTAACCATGTATGCAAATGTTGCTGTGGATGGTTGGCAACCCTGTCTGTGGTTTTGGTTCCCCTTACGGTCCAGCTCCATGTGCTGCATGCTCTTTTTGCTTTCCTCCATGAGCCTTTTGTGTCTCTGGGAGAGATTTTCTTCATCTCCTTCCTGATGCTTGTGCCAGTTTGTGGTGAACATCTGAAGCTGTATCTCACACTAACACAGTAAAACAAGCTTACATGCCTTCTTTGAACTTAGCAGTTTTCAAGTGTCAGCATGTTGGACTCTGCATTTCTACTTTCATTTTCATTCACTTCAATTTCACTTTATCAACATTATGCTGATTCTCTTGGATGTCATAAGACAATCGTTTTTCAAAGTCAATATGTCACACACTGATATTGATGACGATATATTTATTGTACATTGTGCAGCTCTTATCCAAACCTACACGATCAGTGTAAAATAGTCATTACCTGCCTTGTTAAATCATGTATTAAATCTGTTTAAACTTTTTTTTTTTTTAAATGTGCTCAGTTTTTCAACTCTAACTCCATCCTTATTACCTGACCCTCAAGATATAATATTTGATTTAAATAGCATATCTGTCGGTTGAAAGGTGTCCAAAAGCAACACATCTGCTAAATAAAAAACATTAAAAAACACATTATTAACATCCATGAGCCTGGAACATAGCTCCAGTTAGAACTCCCAGATAGAAAAATACATATTTATTAAAATCCTAATACTCAAAAATAACAACTATCCATGCAATATAAAACCTAGAGCGAAACAGGGTTTTTTTGTTTTTTTTTTCTGCTAATGTTTTTTATGTGGGAGGATGACTCGAGCACACACACATGCTTGTGTTGCAGGACGATACCGGTGACTCTGGTGCTGAAGGACCCGCAGCTCCCCAACGAGGACCTGGGCTCTCTGGAGCTGGCAGTTACCCTGATGCCTAAAAGCAGCCCCATGGAGGATCCCCGAGACACGGCGGTGGGTACACATATTCTCTGTCAGATACGGTCGATGTCGCTGCCAGCTGGGGTTTTTTACAATGTCAAACATCTGATAAATTAACTTGTTTATCCTCACAGGGCAAACAGTGATTCACTCTAAACCAGTAGATAGATGGAAACACGACTAATTCACTTTTTTTTTTCTTTTTTTTTTTGCAAAATTTTAAAAGTTTGTTCCAGGTTTGCTCATTTTTACTGTAGATCTAAGCATGTGTCCAGCTCAGGGGACAAGCTGGGTTGCTATAGATACAGGTTAGCAGAGTCCTCACTGTTCCTATAGAAATCATTTATATCATTCCTGGCTCTTTGTCCTCATTTTGTTATTTGTATTTTTATTACAGTCTTCAAAATGCTGCCAGAAACTTCCTGGCAGCAGTCATCATTTGTCTGAAATATTCTGCTCTCATTATAGGTTCTTTCAAACACAGTTTGTGTGTCATGAAAAGTCGTTACTCCCAAAATGATTACAGATGCCAAAAGGTGAAATAGTGCCAGCAGACGTTGAAACAGAAGAGCAGCTAAACAGAAAAACATCTTAAAAGCATAAATCCCTGCTGCACCTTAGTTTCATCCTGCTGATGCAAACAATGAAGTATATTTTTTTGACACAGAATAAATTGCTGAATTTTATCTTTATGAACTTGTTGATTATAGAAGGTCTCCAGTTAGACCTTCCTCTCTTTTCCATGTTTGTGTTTCCTGCAGCGAGGCGAGGTTAAGACATATCGGTGGAAACCTTATGTGAATAAAGTGAGTGTAGCCGTGAGTTAGCTTGTAGCGTTCCTCCTTTAGCTCTTTTAGCTCCTTTAGCTTCACCTCTGAGTCTAACTAGCTTGTTCCTCAGCAGCCTGATTAGAAAACATTTAGAGGACCTCTGTGAAAGGATTTCTACTCTCTAGCATTAACGTTATTTTTGTGGTATTGAATTTTAAATCTTTTTGTTTTACACCTGATAACCCTCCGATGGAGTGTTGGATTGGATGCCCCATATGACACAGATACTTCCCCCCACATCAGCAGCTTCTGTATGGAGGAAGCCCATTTTAGCTGCTTGTATGTGTGATCCTACCCTTTCTGTCAGGAATCAAAGTTTTATGACGGCAGGGAAAGGCAGGAACCCAGATGGAGCCGTAAACGGAGAGGTGGTAGAAACATCATCCTCATTACTGCATGAGCTGCGCTTATTTATTCATGCCAAAATGCAGGCATCAAGGTAAAAGCTCCATTCACACATCTCCCCAGGATGGCTTTTTTAGTTGCCGGAGTTCTGTGTGAAATGATCAACGCAGCACATGGAGGGTTCATGCACAGCTGACAGAGTAACAGTTTTGAGATGGGATGTAACCTCCACTCAAACTAACGGCTCTGATTTTTTTCTGTGGAGTCTGGAATTCTGCTAGCATATCCTGTTAGCATGCAACATCTATTGAGCTGTTTAAGCCTGCGTTCACACAGCAGGTGAATGCGACTCAATTCAGATGTTTTTATCCACATGTGAACCATATGTGACTTTGTCACGGCAGTCTGATTGGCCCGATTCTGATGTTTTCAACCAAAAAAAAAATCTGATTTGTGCCACTTTTGTATGTAGAACTAAATGTGATACATATCCGATTGATTTCTGCAGTCTGAATAGTTTATATCTCATTTTATGTGACTTTTCCATCATTGACATGAGACATGCATCGTATTTCTACACCAGACTGGATGTAAATGGTGGCTGAAAATCTCATAATTATGAAATTTTGAAAGAAGTCTGAGGTGCATGATATCACAATCCCACCACTCCTGGTCCGACTACATGTCCAATCAGATTCTCTACAGAAGCTGCAGTGAACGCTTCACTAAAGGCTGTTGCTGTTACTTGTGCTTTCTGTTTATCAGCTTCCTTCATTTTGTTGTGATTTGGTGATAATACGGTTGCCTCCAATTGCTTTAACGCCGGCGTCCATTATTACTTCCATAGACAGTGTGCTGCTATGCAAAGTCAACGTTTTTCTTGTCATGAAACAACTACAAAAAAAAAAAATTGATGAAATGGTTCTCAGCAAAAAAAATCATAACTGAGCATGAAGACCTGCGGTGTGAATGCAGCCTAACTTGTTCTGATTGTGTTACAAATGACCAAAGGCAGCTTTAAAAGAATAATTATACAACTGCATTGTGCAAAGGGCTAAAATTTAAAACTGTGCTTATCATTTTCACTTGTTCCTTAACGATGTCCCGATCAGGACTTTTTGTCCTAGATACCAATCATTGTTTAAATTTGACGGTGGCAGGTATTTTATCTCCACTGGAGTTGGGACCATAATGTTCCCACATTCCTTCAGTTGAAATATGCAGCTTTATGATTTGTTTCTAAAAACATGCAGCTACAGTTTTAAATAAGCTCATATTTTTGCTGTTGTTGTCTGGAGCACATTGATGAAGTGGTAAGCTAGCGTTAGCATGTGTCCTCCTTCTTTTAATATCACTTGTTAATCTTCTGACTCAGTTGAAGTCAAGTTATATGACAAACACCTACAGAAAAAAGTGAAAAAGTTGCTTTCCTGCATCGAAAATGTGTTTTGCTTTAAATGTAGTAAAATTTAACAACTAAATTTAATACCAACCGTCTCAAGAGACGCCTGATCGTAATCATTTAACAAAAACCTGGATTAGGACCTTATGCTGACTGGTGGGATCAGATGTGGACATCCCTGTCGTGATAAAGAAATATTTTGTCTGAGTTATATTTCCTCTGAGTCTCTGAAAAAAAAATCTGCATCTTTTTGGGGCCCAGTGTGGAGACTGGGCTCGGTTCTGGATGGTTGGATGGATTTATGTTAGATGGCAGGAGGTGGAATCTATGAATTTCATAGTAAATTCATTGAAATAGGTTCTGTTCTAAGAGCTCTGTGACAGTTTTATCAACAATAATACGTACATATTTTTCAGTAACTGCTTTAGAAATTAGAGAACCCTTTCATATTCAAAACATCTTAATTACTGATGAAATTGTTGCTGCAAAACATGCTTGAAGTTCTTCACGGTTATGGATTTTGACATTTGTGATTATTTTCTGTTCAGAGACTCTTCAAATCCATTCTTAGCTCCAAGTCATTAAACACAGCTTGTCTCATCCATATATTACTCAACATATGAAATAATAATAAGCTGAGTCTCAGTCTGAAACGCCGCTCTAGTCAGAGAGATGGATTCAGAATCAGGCGACTGTACGCTGAAGAAGTGTGGGAAAGAAATGAGCAAAACAAAAAAAATCATCAGAACTGAAAATAAATGATGCATCTGTTTATGTTGCTTTATTAATGGGGCTTAAATAAAGCAACTCGTCTCCCTCCCTCATGGTTTAGCTTCAGTTAGTCCCAGTAGAGCTGATCCTCTAATGGCTTTGGGTCGAGACGTTTCAACGTATAACAGCTGAACAGTGTTTAATATGTCTTCAGACCATGCTGCTCAGGAGATCCTGGAAACGATCCACAAAGGTAAACACCATCACCACCGTGTGTGTGTGTGTGTGTGGGTGTGTGTGTGTGTGTGTGTGTGTGTGCAGCCACAGCATCCTCCACCAGCTTCCTGTCACTTCTCCGTCACCATGTCTGCATTTCAACGCAGCGCCTCCATTTTGTGTTCGAGTTCTTGTTGCTGCTGTCGGCTCCGTTGGCTGAGGCTCCGGTCTTCTGGTGGGATGTTTCTGGAGCAAAGTGATCCAGAGCACGCACCTTACATAACTGATTTAACTGATCTTTTTTTTTTATTTAAGTCTCAGGCACAGATAAAAATAAACCAATGGCTTCAGTGTTAAGTTTTAAGGCTATTAAAGGGGAGTTATTATGTAAATTCAACTTTTTTTTAGTTCTATTAATCTAATAGTATTATTCATTCATCACACCTGGAGTTTGGCTTTGATTTTATTTTTCATGCATGTTTGAGAAATCCTTTAATTTATGGGGTTGCATAAATCTTTGGTCCCACGAAACACCACCTACATCCACAGAGCTCCGCCTGAGAGCTGCAGACCTCAGCTGAGCCTCCGCCTCACGGTGCACTGCTCCCCCTGCTCCTCCCACACTCCGCTCCTAAAGACTAGCCATCAGCAATTAGCAAACACCTGGTGGATCTGCGAGTCCACTGAGCTCGTCACTTCTTAACGGCTTAATGGAGAAACAGAAAGCAAGAGCTTCTTAAAAAGACAGAGGCCTAATTTCAAGTTGTGAAGTAGGTGTGCGGTGTGTCTGTTTTCAGCCCCCTTGTGTCTGAATGTAGTAACTCCACCATTTACTGTTTTTTTTTTTTTTTGCTTTATTTTGTTGCTCATTTTGCTTTGCTCTGGCATGAAGTGTCTGTGGAACATCAATCAGTTAGTTTTAGGTCTGGACTTTGACTGGACCACTCAAATACATGACATTGGTTTGATCTGCACCATTTGGTGGTAGTTCTGGCTGCATGTTTACAGCTGCTGCGATGCAGTTATGAGGTTTAGAGAACAGTCACTGTTCACACAGGGGCATGTAGATTTGGATTTGTTTTCTCCCATAATAAAAAACTGCTTGAATTGCTTGAATTGTCTTTGACTTTTCCTAAATTGGTTTGATTGGTGTGAAAAACAGGCAAAAAAATTAGGAAATCAGGAAAGGGTAAACACTTTGTCCTGCATCTCTCATTCCTCGCTTTGAGATGAATACATTCCTTTGTGTGTGTGTGTGTGTGTGTGTGTGTGTGTGTGTGTGTGTGTGTGTGTGTGTGTGTGTGTGTGTGGATCAGCAGCAGCAGTCATTGCGTCTCACTGAGGTGCATCGGAAGTCCCAGCTGTGGCGAGGGATCGTCAGCATCACACTGATCGAAGGTCGGAACCTGACGCCCATGGACCCCAACGGCCTGAGCGACCCCTACGCCAAGTTCAGGCTAGGGCCACAGAAGTACAAGAGCAAGGTGGGTCAGATGGCACATCTGTTAGGAACCAGACAGCATGGAGTCATTGCAGTCATTTACCTGGTGCCCATTTAGAGCATCGATGACTTCAGGAATGATAAGAAAATGTTCAGTTTCAACTGAAATCCAGTTTCATTCAGTCCAGTTTGGGAATTAAGAAATGTGTGTGTGTGTGTGTGTGTGTGAGTGTGTGCAGACGGTGTCAAAGACCCTGAGTCCTCAGTGGAGGGAGCAATTTGACCTTCATCTGTATGAGGAAACAGGAGGCGTTCTGGAGATCACAGTGTGGGACAAAGACACAGGGAGGAGAGACGACTTCATCGGACGGTCAGAACCAGAATCAGCTTTACTCACCGTGTTCGCCTCCACTTTTCTCCCAATGAACACTTTTTAAATCTACAAACATAAGAAGGACTAGGCTGAGGAAGTGCGGATAAGCCTGGTGTTGATGTGATCCAGTAGAACCAGAACCTCCAACCGTTTCCTTCCTGTCTGCTCCTGTTCCAGCTGCCAGTTGGACCTCTCCACTCTGACTAAAGAGAAGACCCATCACCTGGAGCTGCCGCTGGAGGAGTCCCGGGGCGTCCTGGTGCTGCTGGTCACACTGACGGCGTCGGCGGCGGTCTCCATCGCCGACCTGTCCCTCACGCCGCTGGAGGACCCAGAGGAACGCAGAGAGATCCTCAAACGTTACGTCAGTGGCCTTCTGACGTTCACATCTCACATCCACTATATAACAATACTTATGTTAGCCAGGACTGTGATGATAACACATCATAAGTTGTTGTCCAGTTTATGACAATAATCCTAGTGATTTTTGAGACCCAGTAAATTTGATAGTGGCATAACAATGCAAGTTCTCTCTTCCTCTAGAAAATAATTTAGTAAAGATCACTTAACACTGGAACTGGAAGATATTTTAAATATACAATAAAAACTCTTTCAACCGAAACCATAATTAAAGTGGATTATGATGCCTCTGAAAAATTACCATCCAAAAGACTGCAAGACAAACATGTTTTTGCCGCAGGGTGTGAGGAAGTCGTTGTCCAACCTGAGGGACGTGGGCATCGTCCAGGTGAAGGTGCTGAGGGCCGAGGGTCTGATGGTCGCAGACGTCACAGGTACCAGCGCCTCCTCACTTCTTCTTCTTCTGTTTCTCCTCAGAAACCACCTGCCACCAAACACACTCTCTAATCTGACTGCTCTCTCTTTTTTTTCCAGGTAAAAGTGACCCTTTCTGCGTATTGGAGCTGAATAACGACAGACTGCAGACACATACCATATACAAGAATCTCAACCCTGAGTGGAACAAAGTCTTCACCTTGTGAGTCACATTTTGCTGCAGCATCTTCCTCCTAATTCTTCATTATGGGGCCGTTAATGTTTTCTCCAGTGGACTGAGAGGCTGTAAAAGCCCCTCTGAGTCATTCTGAGCTGTGGGTTGTTGATGCTGGAACATGTTTCAGGCTGGGGAAACCAAAAAGCACGAGTTAAAGTTTGAATTTCAGAATATAAGCAGAAAATGTAGCTGGTTTAGCTTAGAGGATGGACAGCTAGTTGGACTATCTGTTATTGAAGCAGTGTGAAGACAGTGTTTCGTTAGAAAAGGTTGAAAAAAATAGCAAAATTTGGAATAACTTCCTCAATTTCCCAAAAATGCTTGTTACTCTGACTCTGGCTCAGTCTGGCCTCACGTCTCCTCTCTGCACAGCAACGTGAAAGATGTTCACTCGGTCCTGGAGGTGTCGGTGTTTGACGAAGACAGAGACAGGAGTGCAGACTTCCTGGGAAAAGTGGCCATTCCTCTTTTGAACGTGAGTATCAGAGGTTGTTCAGACTCCTGGAAATGTTCCTCATTCTGTCCCGTTACAGACACAAGGTCCCATTCGGCTGATCAAACACAAGGCAATGGATAATCATGAAGTGGACTTGAACTAATGGCTTCTGTGTTTTTAATGATGTTTGTTCACTAATGTGCTTTAGCAAATCTCTGAGGCCATAACAGAGATTTTCCATCAAGGCCAAAGTTAATATGTACTGATATGTCAGACGTTTTCCAAACTAAAAAGCTGGAATTTAGACATTTATTACAATTACAATTTAGACGTTTATTGTTGTTGCTATAAAATTATAGCTAAGAAAATGCAAATGAGGAGCAACTTGACCACAGAGGTGCTGTAGTTTCATATGAGTGCATAGTCCTGTTAGAATGTGTGAGTCATGAAGTTTTTAAAATGGAAACAAACTAAACTTTGTCCCTGTTGATATCCAGAATAATTACATTTAATGTCCAGCTGTTTTATATTTTAGGTTTAATTTATATACAAACATTATCCTGAAGATTTGTTGGATCACTTTGACTAAACACAGCATGATAACCAAGTGAGCTTTAGCCTGCAGTGCCTCTTGGAAATCCGCTGAACGGTTTTGCAGTCTGTAAGCCAAGTCAGTGTGTGTGTTTTAGGTTCGTAACTCAGTGTGTGTGTTTTAGGTTCGTAACTCAGTGTGTGTGTTTTAGGTTCGTAATCCAGTCTGTGTGTGTTGTAGATCCATAACGGCGTCCAGAAAGCCTACGTGCTGAAAAACAAGGAGCTCACCGCCCCGACCAAAGGAGTCATCTACCTGGAGATGGAAGTCGTCTACAACACGGTGATTGTGACGCTGCGTTCCTGCATGTCTGCTCACTCGAACATCCTGAGGAGGAATCCTGCAGTCTGTTCCGTCCAGAGTGTTAAAGATTTTCCTTGATGTGCTTTTCTTCAGATAAAGGCTGCTTTAAAGACCGTGGTTCCTGCAGAACAGAAATACGTCGAGGAAGAACCAAAAGTTTCCAAGCAGGTGTGTATTGTTATGCAATTACATAAAAATCAAAGGACAACTGTTGGGTTCAGGTCCGGTCCTGATCCTTGATTCATAACTCCTGCATTTCCATTCATCATATATTTGTGCATTTTGACATTTCAAAAATAAAATAGCTTAATGGAAACACTCTCATTTTTCAATAAATGGTTTTGGTTCTAGGATAAAGTGTTTTTTTTTTGTTTTTTTTTTGGCTGTATTGAAATTGGTTTTATTTGCCAAACTTAAATGGAAACACTTTCTATTGCATCAGCCACGGGACATCGCCACTGACACAAACCATGAAGAAGAAGACCACAGGAAGTAGCTGGAGGAAGATGATGCAGTGTGTTTTTAATGAGTTGTCATGTGAACAAACTTATTCACATGTGATTTGCAAAAAGCAAAAAAAACCACAATTTTAAGAAGAGCTATGATTTTTCAATATACATATTTTTTAAAACTGATATTTCTCTGTTTTTAAAAGCATCCTCTGCTTTTAAAAACAGAGAAATGCTCTAAAACACGACAGTATCTCTCCTCCACCAGCAGGAGGCAGCTTAGTTGAAACCAATCACATTTTATTTGAAAGCCTCTAACAAATCCATGATGTTAATAAGACATAAAACGTTTTGACTTTGTGGAGTTTGTACTAACCAGCAAACGTCTCCATTGTGTATTTGAATCAAACTGTATTTACAGCAGGTAAACCTTTTGCCTTCCAGCTGCTGCAGCAGAACTTTAACCGGGTCAAGCGGTGCATCATGGTCCTCTTTAGCTACGGTACCTACATCAACAGTTGCTTTGAGTGGGAGTCGTCACAGAGGAGCATTACTGCTTTCATTGTACGGAGAACACTCAAACACACACACACACACACACACACATACACACACACATCTACACAGCTGACTGTTTCCCCACCGTGTGTGCTCTGCTCCCAGCTGTTCGTGGTGGTGGTCTGGAACTTTGAGCTCTACATGCTGCCACTTGGCCTGGTTCTGCTGCTGGTCTGGAACTACTTCTTCTTTTCAGGCAGAGAGACGGCAGAGACGGTGAGCACTGAGACTCATTTGTGTTCAGGTGTGTGTGTGTGTTTTACCGACCAGTCACCTGCTGAAGCTGTCTCTCTCTGTTCTGCAGTCCATGGAGGCCATGTTTGAATGGGAGGATGATGAAGAGGACAAGGAAGAAAAGGTGCTGCTCTAATTCAGGAAGTCATTCCTCTGCTTTCGATAGATGTAGTTTACCTAGATAGTGACTATGTAGCCAAATAAAGTCCTGAAACATCTTCTGATGTAAGCTATGACACATTAGTGATGAAGCTGGGGTCACTGGTTGGTAACAACTGAAGGTGACATGGTTACTGAATTATGTGTTTAATTATAAATCATATGTGCCTGGAATACACAATACTGCCCCCTTTAATGAAAGGCACCCATGTATCTATAGCAGCGGTGTCCAATGTGTCCCCCGGGGGCCATTTGTGGACCCTGGACTGACTCTGTCTGGCCCCCGATTTCAATTCAAGAATGATGCAAAGGTGTTTGATGTCGGTGGAAACATTATTTCTTTATTTATTCATTTTTCATCAGTTGTTTTATTTATAAAAAAGATGGAAACTGTATTTTTAAAATGATCACAAAGTAAAATTTCCTCACAACAGCAGACATTTACAACAACACATTATTCGTCGTTTTGCTTTCAATACGGTGACTTTTACTCAAAAATTTGACTTAACTGGACCCAAATATGCTTTTACTTCGTGTAAGAGTTCCCTATGTTTTGATTTCACTGGTTAAAAATGTCTATATTTGTTTGTTTTTTTGTTTTGTTTTTGTTTGTTTTTTTTGTTTTTTTCCAAATTCATACCTGGAAAGTTTGCAAATTGTCTTATTTTGATTTCTGCAAAACGATTTTAAAGTTTTGAATGTATAATAATTTAAACATCCCTACTTTATTATTTGTCGAAAGTATTGCATACTAAGTTGATTGCTGAGTAGGCACAAAAACATTATTTTTGGCTCATGTGTTTGGGCGCCCCTAAATGAAATGAACAGATTCCAACTCTGCATACATATCTAGACTTTATCAAAACAGCGTCAAATATTGAAAACTTATGGAAACTTCTCCTCTCTCCTGTCAGGACTCTGAGCCCAAAGGCTTCATGGATAAACTGTACGCCATCCAGGACGTGTTCATCAGCGTACAGACCGCTCTGGATGAAGTAGCATCGTTTGGAGAGAGGTTAAAGAAGTAGGTTCTCTGCAGGTTGCCATGTTTGTGGCGCCCTTCACAACCAAACAGCAGAAACAAACCAAGAGCTTATAAAGACAGGCCTGAGGTTTTGTTGTTAGGTAACGAACAGCTGATAACATCACTTCACCACGCATGTCGCTTAGTGTTGTCATTTTTTTGTAAATATTAGTTTTTCCCATATGCTATGCTAACTTTTGGCCAAGTTTGGGTCCAGGTCACAGTGGATTTATATGCCCCAGATTAAAAATATATCATGTGATGTGTATTTCTGAACCATTGAAGTCTCTTTAAGTGGATATTGACATGGAAGTCTGGAGTTTGCTCTGGAGACTGTGGCACCAATCATCTTTAATGTGAAATCCACACAGAACGAAGCATCAAAATATCTCCTTTTTAAGTTGAAAGCAATAAAAGTAATACATTTTTGTTGCTTTCCCAGAAGGAGTTTTGTGATCTGGATGGTGGCTTCTTGTTGCTCTCTTCCTGCTGACCTTTGCCCTCTGTCAGTCACTCCAGTGACTGTCTATGTCAGTCATAATCTCATGTCTTTCTCCTTCTAAACATGCCGGCTTCTTGCAACTTACAACATTTCTAGGCTGGGTTTCCACCGACACATGAGTAACGATGTCATCATCGCAGTACCACTATGCAGTATTCATGCTGTAAAGGACTATGTTATGTTCTGTGTTTTCTGTGTAGTAATTTTTGAGGTTTTCTGTGTTTAGTCGTGTTGCTGTCCTGTCTTCCCTGTTGATTGCTTCCCAGGTGTGTCTAGTTACCTGAATACCCTCCCTGTGTATTTAAGCCCACCTGTTGTCTTTGTCTCTTGTCGGGTCCTCGTCTTTGTCAGCGTCAGTCTGTCAGTCGTCTCAGTAGAACTGGTTAAGTCCTGTGTCGGCGTCAGCTCTCGTTTTTCAGTCCTCTATCAGTTGCTACTGGTAATTAGCTGTGTGCTATTCTCTCTGCCGTGCCGCCTGCATTGGACTGTTTTGAGCTCTCTTTATTAAATCATCATTATCATCATTATCATCATCATTATCATCATCTGGGTCCCAGCGTTCATTCTCACCACTACTAACTCACCACTTCATGACAGACTAATTGGCGAGCAATAATTGTTGGTCAAAGGAGGAGCTTATTATATTGTATTGTATCGTTTATCGTTTATCATGATAAATTTCTTGATTTTGCTTTATCTGTGCTTTAAAAAAAACAAAAACCATCCATGTTGTTGGGATTGTTAGTTTTATTATTTTTTCCACTGTTTGTTCATTGACAGGGTCAGTACATGTGAAAATATGATTACAGCTAGCTACTGTGAGCAGAGCAGCCTAATAATATAACTCTCACTTACTGAAGTGACTGGTGTCCTCAAAAAACATATTATAACCAGAATGTTTTTTAAAAGCAGTATTTGTGTTTATGCCATGCAGTCATAATCATACAGGTGCCTAAAGAAATAGTAACAAATAGTTCTTATTGCAATGTTTATCATTGTCACATGAGACACAAATGACATCGGCAAAAATACTAAAGGTCACCGAGTTGGAAGCACAGGTTAGAAAGAGAAGGAAGATGAAAACGGGCCAATATCACACCTGGTATCGTCATCATCAGACTTTGTGATATCATTCCACTCTGCTCCTGGGTACACGGCTGTTTGTATGAGTGACTGTATTTGTGGAGACTCAAAGCTTTCAGCAGTCGTTCTCACACAGCAGGTCACATATTCATTCCTCCTCTGTCTCCTGCAGCACCTTTAACTGGACAGTGCCTTTCCTCAGCTGGTTGGCCATCACTGCCCTGTGCCTGGCCACACTGCTGCTCTACCTCATACCACTGCGATACCTCGTACTTGCCTGGGGTGAGTCCCGATCCACTCACTGCTGTACCATGAACTGTCATTCACTCCAAATTGGCTACAAAGCAAAGCCACATTCAGACCAGCCTGATCTCAGCCCCACAGCTGTTGTTCTGTCGGGAGGAAAGGGACAAAAATCCAACAAACTGGTGTGAGAAGCTCAGATTGTTTGACTGAAATCATAAAGTCGAAAAGTCATTTTACTAAATACAAAAAAAAGTAGGTAAAATTATTTAGAAAATAAATGACTATAAAGAAGAATAATTCTTATTAAAAAAAAAAATCCGTTTTAAAAATGACACACTGGAAGCATGTCTATAGGCCTGTCACAATAATCACAATTAATCATTAAATTAAAATGACATCAATAGTTTCCATTGGCATGATTTATCGTTTTTTGTCTTTTTTTGGAGGGGAATTTTGTTTATAACTTCAAAATTAATTTTATTTGTTGTTTGGTTTATTTATTTTGGATATTTAAGAAGTCTTCCAGTTCCAGTGTTAATACTCATTAGAATTTAAAGTTTACTGGTCTTTTAGAATGTGTTCTTGCATGATTATATTACCATTATATGACTTAAAAATTGTCTCAGAACAATAATATTATTGTTTAAAGCAATAACTTCTGGGATAATTTATCGTCCAGCAAAATGTATTATTGTGTCAGGCCTACATGTTTGCTCCCTCCTGCCCACAGCCAGAAGGAGTAGACATGGGGAGTGATTTAGAGTTTAAATGAGTTACAACATTTCATTTCCCTTTGGGATGAATAAAGTCATTTTAATTTGAATTCTACAGGTGTGAACAAGTTCACTAAGAAGCTTCGTGATCCATACATGATCGAAAACAACGAGCTTCTGGACTTCCTGTCCAGAGTTCCGTCTGATGTTCAAATGGTGGGTACGGCGGCCATGTTGGCAGCAGAAAGGCTCATGATGAACATATCAGAATTGATGTGCTGCTGGTTCTCTCTCTCTCTCTCTCTCTCTCTCTCTCTCTCTCTCTCTCTCTCTCTCTGCTGATGGACAGATGCAGTACAGAGAGCTGAGAGCTGATCCTGGACAAAGCCCCAACAAGCGCAGGCGGGTGTACCCCAGCTAGCTGAAAGCTGTAAACTCTGTACATTTATTGTAATTTCATATCTGGTTTCTTAACCGTGTCCTCTTGTACATTTGATTCTGACGAAGATGCATTTACTGATTTTTATTTTGTTGCTACCGAACTGAATTGTTTTCTAAATATGTGAAAGAAAAAGATGTTGTGTTTTTTTTATCTAATTTATTTCTCTCCACACAACCCAACTCTTGTTGTTAAAGTGATGAAATAAAGGACTGTGTCATCTGCATGCAGTGCTGCTGTCGCATGCAACCGGAGCAGAGTCCTTCTGACCTTCTGACCTGAACGTGTCGTTGCTGTGTCTGAACTCAGAGCTGCATGCTGATTCTGTTCCATATCCTCAACCTCAGTGACCAGCACCACAAGGTCCGCTGTTATTCCACGCACTGGTCTTCTTTCTCTTCCCGTCAGTCAGGCGAACAAAAGTTTTTGTGTCAATTTTTTTTCACACAAATTTTTTTTTTTTTTGGAGATTTCTCCACTCAAATGAGTTTTTATATTCCTGTGGGGGTTCACATGAGCAGTTATAAGCAGTTAGTGTTTTTTCTTCCAGTTTGTAGCTTTTATTATCTGATGTTTGCCAGTTTAAAACAGCTTTAAAACAAATATGACCAAGTAATTTTGTTAAGTGTTATTTCAAGTGTGCTAAGATGTTCAGATGTTCATTGAAATAAGACAAAAATAACTTCCAAGTAAGACACAGGATCCTGTTTTAGGTTAATAATTCCTTAATATCGATGGAAAAAGTACTTGGTCTGTTATCAGATTATTTCATTATAACATGGGAAAAATGTTTTTTTATAGGTGGAATAATTTGCTGGTGGAACTTGTACTTGTAAATCAATATGAAGGTATTGTGTAAAACAAGCTCTTATATCTGACTGAAAAGTTACCAGTAAGTTATTCTGTCTTATTTTAAGTGTATTAAAATATTTGCAACAGACACTAGACAAAATTACCTGGTAAGTCATTTTATCTACTTGTTAAGTTGATAAAATGACATCTTGGCAGATTGATAGATTGACAGCCTGCAGTCTGCTGATCCTCTCGCTGTCCGGGCCGGGTGAAGGTTTCCTGTATTGGAAAAAAACAAAAACAAAACTTCTTTCTCAAAAATGTTAATCTCAATGCAGGACCTAAGTCAGTTGGATTTTGTGAAGATTTCCTGTGCTCTTCTTTCCTGAAGTGGTTTGGAACAAGATCTGAAACTGCAGCAGATATAACAGTAAAGTCTGAACCGTTAATATCTGCTCATATAGTTTTGTCTCCCACTGCTGGAAAAACAGTTTGAGTTATTTTAAATAAGCTGAAGCCGTTGATCTTCTACTGCTATGAGGATTTCTTTCTTCACAGCAGCACAAACATTTTCCTTTTTAGATCTCAACAAATTTAAGAACAGATCCACCTGATCAGCCGTCATTCCAACTGTTATAAGAAAACATTTCAGGGGTTTTTTTGGCAGGTGATTTTCTCTGCAGTTCTGAGTGAAGAGTTAAAATATGACAGTTTCAACTGCTCAACTTGTCACAGATTTTATTTTTAAAACTTTTCAGTCACTAATACAAATCTGGGTGGTTTAAGGAGCAAAAATAACATCTACAGTTCCTGTCTTTGCTGCACAAACAATAGATGGGATTGCTTTTTCAGTCTGTTTTAATCTACAGCAAAACAAAAAAAAAAAAAAATGAGACATAGCATGAAATGTATTCAACTTCTAAATATTTCTAACTTTATAGAAGTTAAAATGTTGCAAAAACAAATGAAATGTCCTCTTCCTTACACCTGTTACCAGATTAAAGGAAATAAAAAACAGTTAACTATCAATGCAATTTTATCAAAGTTTTTAAAGTATTTAATGACCGCTTTTTAAGGTCTGCAACATTTGTCCAATTAGACTTTTTCTTATCTTGTTTCTTTCAAATGCAAATTATTGGATGTCTCCATCATTTTGTCTTGATGTGGAAGTGACGTGGAAAACACATCACACAGCTGGATATGTTTTATTTAGGTGTGTTTTACTCAGCTGGTAAAAAAACAAAACATTTTTATTCTTTTCCATAAATTAGCAAAAAAAAAAAAAACATTAAATCAAGACAAAAAATAAACTAACTGAACATCCTCCAAAAGTATTCCATATTTCCTGCCTGTTGTAAACCAAACAAACATAAACTGAATCAGTTTTGAACAAAAATGTTGATCTAAATTCTGAGAACAATAGTTTGGTGATTTTCTCATAAGCGTGGATATTTTTCCAGCCTTGTGTAACTTTGTAACTTTTCCTAAGCCTGTTCTGTTAAAAGAACACAGTTAATGCAGCCACTCATATCTGAATCACACATATTCATATCTCAGCATCTGTTTAATGCTTTGGGTGGAAAAGCAGCTAATATCTTGCAGCGGTCAGACATTTGGAGCTGACCTCCTCTTAGAGTTTACAACTGCTAGGAATCAGCAGCTTCAGATGAAAGCTCTTTCAACAGATGTCAGTGTTCATATCTATGAGCACTGATGTCTGATAACCAAAGAAAAACAAGCATAAAGACCTTATTTAACCCTCTTTGTGTTCCTTTTTTAAGATTTTTTTTTTTCCCGCTGCTCTTTGTTTTACTAACTCTCCTCACTTTGTTGATCCTGTTCTATCGCTGTCTTCCTCTCAGCATCTCCGTCTTTGTCTTTTTAACTTTGGGATGCAATGACCTGCATGTATGTGGAAGCTGCTGTCTGTAAGTGTTTTGCATGATTGATCCTAAACTATACAAGTGCATTTATGAACACTAAATGTGCGTAAAAGCTATGATTATTGATCCGACGTACTGTTAACTCCCCCGACGAGTCCTCGCTGTTGCATTGATCTGTTTTTGACTTCTTTCTCTGAGAAAATATATTTCTTCACAGATGTGTGTGGCTTTCTGTGTCTTACATAAGCAAATAAATGAGGCAGAACTTTGTGAACACGATGCAGGATTTTTAGGAGGGAATTTGATGTTGGGAAATCACTGAGGTCAGACTGTTCTAGAAGATTCCAGATTCAGTCGGTTCTGAGGTGAAAAGTGAAGTTGTTGATCTAAAAACGTCAACCAAACGCAACCGAAAGTAGAGCTGACTGCTGCTAAATATGCATTACAGGAAGTCCAAATGAATATTAATTGTAAAAATCTAGAAAGAATTAAACCACAAAGGCTTCGTGTTCTTCATGTTAAATATGACAAAAAGTCATCCAGGTAATGTCAGTGGTGTTTCCTTAGAGTCTTTACTGCACAAGCAAAAATTTGTGCAATAAGTGGAACTGACTTTTTTAACTAGGTCAAAGAAGTCAATTCCACACACATAGCTAGCTAGCTGTCAGCAGCTGGTTGAGTTTAACTAGCTGCTCATAGCTAGCTACTATCCAGATTCTGAACAGTCTAAGTAATGAATATTTTGATTTAGAAATACCCAAATGCAGTTTGGACTATTTAAAACAAACTTCACTGAAATGAATCTTTAGCACCAGTGGACGCTGTGAATCAGACACCAACTTCAGTGTCATCAGGTAACAGAGGTCAACAGCAACTTTCTGTTGCTCATTGCCTCCACAGGAGATGCTGGACATGAAAATAAGCAGCAGAAAAGTTTTCCAGGCCACAGATGATAGATAAGCTTGTTGTTTTGACTTGAACAGAAGGTAATATTGCCCAGATTAAAACTGTCACCAGATCAGTGGTGTTCATCATGTCTCTGTGTAGGAGGTGAGGCATTGCTGCTGCCGCCGCTTATAATCCCACTGAGGAAACAACTTTACTGGGTTATTTCAGCAGGATGATGGCAGACGGCTGGACTCTCACCAGCTGGTTGAGTTTGACAGCCTGACTGCAGCTTCTATTGAATTCTTACTCAGTTTCCTAAAGGGACTCAACAGCAGCACTTCAAAGATGTGAGTTTGCAGGTCTATCCTGGGTCAGCCAGTTAGCAAATAAAGCAAAAATAAATCAGACACACACACAGTTCCACACACAGCTAACGGTCCTCATGAATGGGGCTTTTACGATGTGTTTTTTTTAATTAAAAAAAAAGTATGGCCTTCATAGAGTCAACAAATATAAAGCTTCCCCTATAAAGGAATATGACTACAATGAATTAAAAAGAGGCCCCCTGCCTCCGGGCTGTGTGTTGAAACGTTGGCCAGCAGGTGGCGTCATTAGCATTAGTTTTGTTGAGCATAGAGCTGAAATGAAACCAGGAC